GCTCAGCTGGCAGGCTGGTCCAGCAGGGGACGCCAGAGCGCCTCACTGCAGCATCCCGGCGGCAGAGCGCGGCGGCGGCGGCGGCGGCGGGCAGCAACTCGCGTCCTGCCGCAGTCTCTGGGCAGCTAGTCTGGGCGAGCGCAAGGAAGCACCCCCGCTCGAAAACCACGCTCGCAGCCGCTGTGACTTCCACCCGCGATCGCGGGCCCCCGGCTCTCAAACACTTCCCGCAGCCCGGGTGGGTCAGCGTGGGAGGACTTCCCGGACCCCCGGGCCGGATTGTGAACTTGGAGAGGACCGCGGCTCTCTCTCGGCCTGGAGAGTAAACAGGTGAGTGACACACACGTGTCCAGGTGGCTCCCTGAGGGCAGGGTGCAAGTCCCCGAGAACTCAGCCCCTGGGTGCGCCCTCCAGATCTCGGGGTCCCTCGCCAAAGGCGACTTTGGGGTTCTCCGATTGGAATGTGAACGCCAGCACCAGGCTTGACAGCGCGTCCTGAGCTAAGGGCGTCCTTCTGATTGATGTAGGGGACATCTGCTCCCTGCTGTGAAGCCTGCAGTCTGCAGGAGCTGAAGTCCACCGTGGGCTTGCTCCTGGCTGCAGACCTGTTGAATTCAGGGTAACGAGGTAGCCCGGGGGCTTGCACAGTTACAGCCTCTTTGCTGTCTGTGTGTGTTGCGTTGTGATAAGATGAAGGAAAATTCCTAGCGGAGAAACTGAGTAATCTTGGTTTCAGGAGAGGGCTGGTCCAGAGGGAAGCGATCTCACTCCCTCAGACTGGCCCTGTTGCTGCTGTGCATAGCTTTACCGCCTTACTGTTTTGTTATTGTTTGTAGGATGCCATAAAAACGTGAAAGTGTAGTTATAAAGATACCCCCCACCCCATCCAAAGGAAGTGCAAAACACTGACCTTGATAAGCACAGTCTGTGAAATGATTTATTGGGAGCAAACCCTTTTGATAAGTAAACAGATGAATGAAGCTTTACGAACGTCATAGTCTAACAGAATCCCCACAGGTAGGGGCTTTGGTTTGTATGTACAGTGAGTCAGTGAATGTGTCAGTAGTACCAAATAAAACTACACTTTCCTTTCCTTTGCCCTAATATTTGCTACAATGATTTTATGCATAGAAAAAAAAAACCTCAGTATTTATTTAGGTGTGGCTTTATGATTGGGAATGATAGGAACTTAAAAGTCATTTGTTTATTTGTGTTGCCCCTGATAAAGCGTTCTGCTCATAGAGTGAACTTCTGGCCATGGCAGGAATTCTTCCTTGTGTTTTAGAACCAATGAGTTTTCTCAGATCTGAGGGCTAGAAGGTCTCCACTTACTAATTCAATAGAAACTTGCCTGCAGGTTACTATGACAACAGTTGACATGTTGATGGTTTCAGTCAAATTTTCATCTGGAAATAAAATGTGAAGGCATCTCTAGGGGTCAATTTTGCATCTTCCCTTTGATTTTTCTAAACATATCACGGGGCTGACAGTAGCCAGCTGGATCTTTATTATGTTATAAAGTTGGGGGAGTATTAATCCACATAATTTCTCTTTCACTTGTGAAACCCATGAGCTTCATAGGCCAATAGGGGTTGCTGAAATGTTTGACTTGGTTTAAAAAACATACATTTGATGATTACTTTTATGAAGCATCAATCAAGGCTATAATCACATTTTTAGACACATACAATGACACTTTTACATGAAATAGCAAATTACTATTTATGGGTGCTTCTGTTATAAAGATGTTCTATGTTTCAAAGAAATGCAAGCCAGCAGCTAGCTATTCATAAGTTAAAAGACAGCTAACAGGTTTAATATGCAAACCTTAAATATAAGGCCTTTTCTTGGTGGATGAGTATAAAATGATGGATAAGGAATTTTGTTTTGTTTTGGAACACCACTTGGGTGACCTGGAATAACCTGAAACTTGTGATGTAGCCCACGCTGGTCTTGGATTCAAGATCTTCCCATTCCATCTTCCCAAATGCTAGGGACACAGGCCAGTACCTAAGGAAATACACATCTTTAGCCAAAAGGATGGAGCTTTTTAAAATCTGTATATTCAAAAGACTGGGCCAGACAGGATCACTTAACATATTTAGGAAACAGATTGTGACGTCATGTGTTAAAAAAAGGTTCTGTAGCCCACACTGGCCTCAGGTTGGCTCTGCAGCTGGAAGTGACGTTGGACTTCTAAACTTCTTCCTAAATTCTGGGATTATAGGTATGCAGCACCATGCCTACCACAAACTTAACTTTACAAAGTAGAACAGTGGGTGAATTCTGAATGCCGGTGCCACCGAGTTTACCATGTCTAGAAGTGAGATTTTGAGTTTATGGTCACAGCTCGATGGAGAAGTTCAGACAGTGAGAGTCCTTAGCCCGTGGGAAAGCTGTGAGGGTTCCCTGTGATTGGCTGTGCTAGAGGATAAGCACAGAGAACATATCATATGGGAACTTCCGTTGTGACAGTTTGTCAGATTGTATATCAAGTTGGGAAGAAGGGAATGCCATGTTTTTAGAGCCATTAAAACAGCCAGTGCCTGGGGACAAATGTTCATATGGTGTGGGGGTGGTGGCGGGGGGAGTCCAGAACTTAAGCAAAGTTTTTTCAGTTGCTGTGAAGAATATGTGAACAGCTAGCTGACTGGCCCTCACTTTCCTAGAAAGTGGAAGCTTAGGATAAGGCAGTGTCCTAAGGGCTCTCTGACTGCACAGCCCCATCTGAGTGAAGGAAATGACTTGTTTTTTTTTTTTTTTTTGTTTTTTTTTTTTTTTTTTTTTTTGTTTTTTATGGTGAGGAACCAGGACATCACAGGCAGAAGTGACAAGGAGACACATCATAGCCCAATACAATAGGTAAGGAAATTCTCCTAATTTGAAAAAGCTGCCTACAAATGACACCACTTACAAAGGAAATAAAGTGATCTTGAAGACCTGGGATTGACCAATCAGACACAAACTGGTTAGCTAACAGAGGAAAATCTGCAACAGCTGGGAAATTCCCTTGACTGGTCCCCTACCCAAGGCCTTTCCCAAGTTTACATTTCTTCTAGCATTAAGAACCCAGATGTTGAGCTGACAGTATAGTCTTGTGACAGAGATGCTTGCCTACCATCATGAGTGAGGCCATAGAGTCAGTTCCCAGCACAGCATTAATTCAGTCAGTTAAAGCTGCAGATGTCATGACTAAGGAGCGGCCTATGTACAATGAGCAGAGGCACACGATGTCATGTGTGTGCCATTAGTGTTAGGACGGCATTGTAAATGGACGTGCCTGAGATCGTCTTTAAAGAGGACCTTGGATGTAGACCGCACCACATACCTTTTGTGTACTAGGGTATTACACCCAGCAAAGCATAGGAGTATAATTTGGATAGTATGTATGTATTGGCTTTTGAATCATGTATACTTGTTACATAATTTACCCTGTGATCTAGTGTGAACTGAGGTGAAATTTAACCTTGAAATGGACAGTTTAATTGCATGGTGATGGAGTTGACTGATAGGGCGTATATGGTTCATTAAAGAGATCCCAAAGTGCCTCTCCCCATCATGTGTGTCCTGGCTGGCTTTGTGTGACAACTTGACATAAGCTAGTGTCATCAGAGAAGGAGTCTCAGTTGAAGAAACCTCCATGAGACCCAGCTGTAAGGCATTTCTCAATTAGTGATCAAGGGTTGAAGGCCCAGCCAGTGGTGGGTGGTGCCATCCCTAAGCTTGTGGTCCTAGATTCTATAAGAAAGCAGGCTGAGCAAGCCAGAGGGATAAGCCAGTAACAGCATCCACCCATGGCTGATGCAGACATCAGCTCCTGCCTCCAGGATCCTGCCCTGTTTGAGTTCCTGTCCTGACTTCCTTCAGTGGTGAACAGCAATGAGGAAGTGTAGGCTGAATAAACCCTTTCTTCCCCAACTTGCTTTATGGTCATGGTGTTTTGTCAAGGCAACCCATAACTAAGACAATATATTTATATGTTGAGAATTTCTAAGTAGTAGTAAATACATTTATTCACATAGCATTTATTATCAATTATGCCAAAAAGCAATCTATTCATAAAAACATAGTAGAGGAAGTATTTTAAAGGTGATGTTATTGCCAGGCAGTAGTGGCACACACCTTTAATGCCAGCATTCAGGAGGCACAGGCAGGCTGGTCTCTGTGAGTTGGAGGCCATCCTGGTCTACACAGCAAGTTCCAAGACAGGCTCCAAAGCTGCACAGAGAAACCCTGGACATGCTCAATGGTCTTTGTGTCTCCAGATCTATGGCCACTGGCTGGAAATTTCTGTAGCAACACAATATGTACACATATTTTAAAACAAAACAGTTGTAAATTATTGTTTTTAAAGATTGCTTTTATTTGTAATTATGCATTTGTGTGTTTGGAGCTGTGCCCCCATGAGTGAAGTACCATGGAGACCAGAAGAGGACTTTGGATTCCCAGGCAGTTGTGAGCCACCCAATGGGGTGCTGGGAGCCAAACTCGGGTCTCCTGAATGGTCAGTGTTGCTCTTAAGCAACGACACTAACCTATCCCTCCAGGCCCAGCTCCAAGTTCTGAAGTCCCAACTGAACCTTGGTTCATGGTTTGGAGTGAGTTACTAAGGTCCTCTCACACGGCAGTGGTGGAAACCAAACTAGCAGATGCATAACTCCTATGGTTTGATGGTAACTGCCAACCTTGTGGAATTCTGGAAAGCACCTGGGAGATGGATGGGCCTCCGAGCCTGCCAGTGGGGAGGTTGTCTTGATGGAAGGCCCCACCCACTGTGAGGTGAGCAGCAGCAGGCCTTAGTGTCTTCTGGTTGTAGGTAAGATGTGACCAACTGTGTCACACCCCGCCTGCCATGGTGGACTATATGCTGCTTTGTCAGTGTTTTATCTCGGCAACAGGAAAAGAAACTAAGATGAAAGGTGACCGGTGTGTACCTGGTGTTTCACAGATGTAGAGTCCTTTCTCACTTAGAATCCCAACTGTCTTCTCTTTTAAGGCTCGTGGACCCTTTGGTGGTTGACAATGACACAGAGACTCTAAAGGCTGTCAGCAAAGCCAGTCTGCTCGCATCCTGAGTCTGAACAGTACATCCTGTCATCACCCGCCATGGCTAAGAGCGCAGAGGTCAAACTGGCCATATTTGGGAGAGCAGGCGTGGGAAAGTCAGGTGAGCTCCTTCTTGTGGCATTTATAGGATCTGTGAGTTTGTCACAGCTTTGGGGGTGGAGCAGGTAAGTAGCCCTGCTGTCCTTCCTCTGTATCTAGAAGTTTTATTTTTCAGAACCCACTCAGGAATTCTTCTACCTGTTTATGACAAAGTAAGTTTGCCCATAAAGTACAAGGCACTGGATAGGCCATAGACAGCATGGAAAAAAACCAAATTGTGGAAATTCCATTAAATATCTGTTCTTTCCTCACTATGGAAGATCTCAAGGGGTCAGTTATATGTCTCAACTATTTGTATATTCTCAATAAAATGGTCCAAGGTCAAACAGATGTTGGGGCCTCAGTAAGTGCTTGTTGAATGAATCTCTCTTTGTTGGTGACAGAATTGTTTTCTTGCCCAGTCTTCTATAGCAGAAGGACACTTGAAAAGTAGGCTGCAGACTTCCAAGCAAACCAGCTATGGCCAGGCCTCCAGATTGGATTTAAATTAGCAATTCTGACTAACATTAATACTTTAGAGCTCTCTTTTGTTTGGCAGTGCTAAGGGGGCGAAAGCCAGGACCCTGTACATGTTAAGCCATCACTCTATCCCTGAGCAACCGCCTGGGTCCCTTGAGACATTCTCACAAAAGTGACCAAAATCATCACTTACTCCCTATTCTTAAAATCAAATGTATGCTAAAGGAGATGTCCCCAATTTACCAGTGACAGTGACCAGAGCTTGTCTGGTGTCTCATGGGAAGGAACACAGAACTTTTGGCTATCAGTAAGGACACAAATGCCTCTGGTGGGTTTGAGTATGTAGACAGAAATCTGCCCAGAAATAACTGGCTAATCCCCACACAGATCATCTATATGCTCTTAAAGAAACACACACACATACACATGCATACATACATGCATGCATGCATGCACACAGGCACGCACGTGCCTTCTTTCCGGTTCTGTGGCCAGCCTCCTTCTAGCCATCTTCCTGGCTGTCTCAGCAGGCACCTGCCCTGCTGTAAGCTTTGCCTCTGTGTTGGGTTTTCTTGGCTCTTTCTCTTGCCACCTTGCTTCTCCTCTGCTGTTTATGCCCCTGGCAGAATCTAAACCTGAGAAACAGCTGGCCAGGACTGAAGATGCCTAAGCTCCTCCCCTTTAATCTCCTTTGGTTTCCCAATGTCGTGAGAACCTCAGCCTGCAGCTGGTAGAAGGGTCTGAGAATGAGGAAACTACCCCGGGAGGGTCTCTGGTGGGAGGGATGGAGTATGTGGGGTGGACATGGAAAGAGAAAGGTTTCGGGGGCCGGGGAGTGGGGCTGTGTGAAGATCATGTTGTAAACAGTGGCTCAGTTTGTGTAACTGAGGGGTTTGGCCATCCATCCATTCATCCAGCTTCCTTCCTTCCTTCCTTCCTTCCTTCCTTCCTTCCTTCCTTCCTTTCTTGAAAGTGCTCTTCCAAGACTTCTGGCATGGTTTGATAAGCTGAACATCAGGCTGGCAAGATGGCTGGAGGGAAGGAAGGCTTGCTGTGCAAGCATGGGACACCTGAGCTACATCTCCAGCACCTGTGGTGTAAAGAGCTGGGCGTGGCTAGCACTCCCCAGCCTTAGCTGTAAGTGATGGAATAGGATTGCCTGGGCTTGCTGATAGCCAGCCTTGCTCCAGACTCAGTGAGCCTTCACAAGGAAATTAGATAGTGAAGAAACATCACCTAATGCCTTGCTGCTTCCTCTGCACATCCCACACACCACACATGCCAGCACAGACTGTACACACACAGCTCGGCTCCCCCAAACAAATACACATTTTAATTTCAAAATAATACAGACATGAGAGGCAGCCTCAGGGAAGAGGTACTCGGTTTGTGAATGCCCATCCACGCCCCATCTTCAGCCCCTCGGTGTGAACCGGACCTTCCTATCCAGCCTGACCCACTGCCTGAGCTGTCCCTTCAGTTTCCTTTGTGAGCCTCCAGTAACTTTCCATTAATGTAGCACCTGGTCCCATCATTCCCTCCTGACCGGGTTTCCCCACCTGTGTCCAGCCATCTTCGTCTTTTCTCCAGTTTCCCATCTTTTTGCTCATTTGCTGTTTAAACATGTTGACCTGCTGCTATAGCCATTCCACAGTACTACCCATTAATCCCCAAGAAAGCGATTTAACAAGCCTACCAGCCTTTTAGGATTCTTTCAATGGCTCCACATAACTCCTCTTTGCCAACCTTCCTTCCCAGTGGGTTGGGGCATTACCCTCCCTCCTGGCTTTCTCGGTTCTTCTGTTGACTCTAACTAGTTGTGCTCTGCCTGCCTCTGGCCTTGGGTCTTCTGGAGGGTCTGGGTGATAACTGAGGCCCCCAGATTGTTCCCATTTCCTGTGGGTGATTCTCCATGTTCCGTGCAAAGATGGCACCCTCTCTAGGCCTGAGCTTTTTTATTTTTCATGTTGAAAGCAGAGGCTGAAACTGCTTGTGAAGGTTCTTAGCAGCTCCGTATTTTTATAAATCTTTTCATATCCATTTCTGCACCCTCCCTGCATACATGTTCCTCTCACTGTTCACACATGACATTGTAGGGTGTGTGTGTGTGTGTGTGTGTGTGTGAGAGAGAGAGAGAGAGAGAGAGAGAGAGAGAGAGAGAGAGAGAGAGAGAGAGAGAGAGAGAGAGAGAGCATTTGCAGACATCAGAGTTTTTGTGGGACATAGTTCTCTCCTAAAGGAGAGGTTGGAGAGGGGAGCTGAACTCAGGACCTCAAGCTTGGTAAAGTGCCTTTACCCATTGCCATTGAGCCATCTTGCTGGCCCAGATTCATCCAGTTTTGTTTCTTCCCATTGCAGTAAAAATGACAAGGACAGACAACCTGTCTTTGGCATAACTTGTTTGTTCTCTGAGAGCAGACTCTGTGTTCCTATTTCAACATCTGAACGCTTCCTTGAGACCTGAACCACACCCCTCATTGAGAAGGCAGCGTAGTCTAGATGTAGGCCTGGGAGATGATTCTGAACTTTTCCACAACTCAGTGGAAATAACCACAGTTTTGAAAATACGATGTAGTAATACTGAGCTCATGTGTACTCTAGTTTCTTAAACTGTCCCTACCTGGTTTCTGCCTGATCATGGTAGCACATAGCCACCCTCCAGCCTAGAAGACTGTGTTTGTCTTGGAAGTAATATTAGTTTACTCTCGCCTCCCTCCCTTCTTCTCTCCTTCTCTCTCTCTCAGCGTGTGTTTGCCCATGTGCCCATGACTGCTCGTGCATATATGTGTACATGTATGTGGAAGTCAGAGGTCAACCTTAGGCATCTTCAGTCAGTGGCCATCTTGGTTTTTGAGACATTTTCTCTTGTTAGCCAGGAGTTTGCCATTTGCCTAGGTGGCTAGCCAGTGAACCCTGTATATATGCCTGTTTCTGCCTCCCCAGTTCTGGGGTTACACCAGCACGCCATGGGGTTTGGAATCCAGGGTCTTCATCCTTTGCATACCAGCACTTCATCAGCTGAACCATTTCCCCAAGCCAACTTTTCCTTGTGTAAGTCTGTAAGGAATCGTACATACCGGAGCGCACTACAGTCATGGCTTACTCTGGTGCCTGCAGAGCCTCTCTTGATCCTCCCTTGAGCCCACACAATCTAATCTTCCTCCAGCTGACTAGAGTACCTCCCAGACAGCCAGCTTGAGATGGGGCTGTAGAGACTGGGTATGTCTGATTTGACTTGGTCTGAATTGTTCGAGGGGCTTCAGGCTCACTCCATCACTCTGCTTTCTCACCCACTAACCGATGTGGTGGGACCTGGGGTATGTAAACCACGTTGTCTCTGTACTATTCGAGTTTTATATCATTCTGAGTCTTGGGTTTTGGGCATGTGCTATGATGTTTGACTTCCAAGTCTTCCATGTGAACTTGGCGATGTGAGGCAAGCCACTCCTCAATTCTTTAAGCTGTGGGAGACACACAGTACTACCTATCTCAGTTATTAAGACTGAGTCATTACATGTACTTTTTTTAGTGCAAATCATGACACGTAGCAGGTGTGCATGTGTTAGCTCATACTATTACGATGTTTCATGTATGCTTTTGATTTCTGAGTACCATGGCGAATAAATTAAATAAAAAATAAATGTATATTCTACCTGGTGTTTTGTTTTATCCCTGAAAATCAAAAGGCTAAAGTAACGTAAAACTATGTCCTTACTCAGCAATACCAACTTAAGTAAACACATATGTGCATATACTCAGAGAGGGAGGGGGTAACAGACAGGGACAAAGATGAGAGAGAGAGAGAGAGAGAGAGAGAGAGAGAGAGAGAGAGAGAGAGAGAGAGAGATGAAGACAGAGAGAGGGTGTTCTCTCTTTTATGAGTCCAAGGTCTGGTTCGTGTCAATTACAGCTTGGCCACTGATGGTTATAATCCTACTTAATAGCTTTATATTAAATCATGGGAAAATAACCAGAAATATGTAGTTTCAACAGTATACCAGCACTCTTCCATTGGAAAGTGCTTCTGTATGCAATGACAGACTTTCTAATCCCAAGTGATAGATAGGTCTTCTGGGTTTAGGAGAGAAGTCAACAGAACTTCCCACTGGACGGGTTGACTGTGGAAGCGTCAGCAGGGGCACACTTAAGAATGTGCTCATTACTAGAGCGTGTGTATGATACATATATGGCAGCGTGTACATGGCCTGGTGGAGGGCAGCTTGTCTTCATGGGAGATTGCTGGCTGAGGGACAGCATGCTGAACTCAGTGGGGTGTGACAAAGTGTAGGCTATGGTTTCCCAGCCTTTCCATCTTCTACCCCAGCTGAGGAAACATTTCCCTCCACCAGCCAATGGTAGACTGTGAGTAACGTGGCTCTCACACCTCCCTCCTGAGGTTCTCAGTCTATATTATGACAGGCTCCAAGTAATTAAGCAAAAAGACCTGCCAAAGCCCGAAAGACACCAGACATACACTTTATTAAATTCTTCCGAGATGTATTCAGATTGTAGCAAGTGTGGGAAGGGTTGATTACATTAAAA